AACATTTCAGAAAGGCATCTCTTAGCTTTTGAAAACTGCTGAAACAGATCTCCAGAAAAGAAACCCCTAAATCAACTACACTTTAGTAAAATAAATTAATAACAACAACAACAACAACCAGAAGAGTGATATCCCTGCAATTCTTGGGTGGTACATGGGCCTGAAGGCCTGAGATGCCTTCCACTTGAAGCTCCTTGGAGACTAACAGAAACAGCAGAATGTCAGGGCTGAACTCTGTGCTCTGGCTTTGTCACTATTTATGCAGATGCTGGTATGTTTCTAGTTCTGGTTTTAAGTTTGCATATTTTAATTAAAGTATCATTTTAATTGGGCTTCCCAGGTGGTGCTAGTGGTAAAGAACCCACCTGCCAATGCAGAGACAGGGGTTCAGTCCCTGGGTCAGGAAGATCCCCTGGAGGAGGGCACGGCAACCCATTCCAGTATTCTTGCTCCATGAACAGAGGAGCCTGGCAGTCCACACGGTCACAATGAATCAGATATGAATGAAGTGATTTAGCATGCACTCACTCATTTTAATTATCAAATAGCTTTTTTTTTGAGATTTTTCTCTTATTTTTTAGTACTAGTTTTATTGAGGAATAATTTGCATATGATCAAATTTACCTGTTTTAAGTGTTTGATTACTTTTGATGACTCTCATATTTCTGAATATGTCTTACATCCCCCAAAATTATCCTTACACACCATTGCAGTCAATTCCCTACCCCTACTGGTAACTACTGATCTGTTTCCTTTTATTGTAGTTTTACTTTTTCTAGAATTCCATATAGATGGAATCATATAGAACCTGGTCTTTTGTGCCTGGCTTCTTTCACTTACAACAATGCTTTGAAATTTATTCATGTTCCTAAGTATCAGTAGATCATCCCGTTTTATTGCTGAGTAGTATCAAGATTATTTTTTTACATTTTTGTGTAAAAATACACACAACATAAAATTTCCTTTCTGTTTATTGTCTGAAGTTGAGAAAATACTCATTTGGGTCACATGGAAAAGCAAATAGATTTTTGTTACTTTTTTGAAAAACACATGTTAATTGAAGTTAATCATAAGGATATATATTCAAATGCAAAATTTTTGAAACATTAGCCAGGTGAATCTGAATGTGAAGGAGATTTCCAGATAATGCAGCAAAAATACAAATTAATTAACAACTTCCAAGTAAGTGTAATCAGAACACGAACCTTGATTACACCAAGCATTTCACAGAAGTTTAAAATTATGATGGAAAAATCAATTAGTAGAAGGATTAAAGCAAAAAACAAACAAAAGAAACCCTCCTACCTTTCTCATATATTTTTTAAGATTTTTTCTTTATGTGGACCATTTTTAAAGTCTTTATTGAATTTGTTACAACACTGCTTTTGTTTTATGTTTTGTTGGCCTCAAGTCATGTGGGATTTTAGCTGCCTAAGCCAGGATCCAACCCACACCCCCTGCACTGGAAGAAGAATTCAACCACTGGACCGCCATGGTGTGTGTGCTTAGTCGCTCAGTCGTGTCTGACTCTGTGCGACTTCCTGGACTGTAAACTGTAGGCAAGAATACTGGAGTGGGTTGACATGCCCTTCACCAGAGGATCTTCCCGACCCAGGGATTGAACCCAGGTCTCCCACATTGCAGGCAGATTCTTTACTGTCTGAACCAGCAGGGGAGCCCAGAACACCAGGGACGTCTCCTCATGTGTTATTTGTGACTAATTATAACAAGGAAAAACTGATAGTGCCTAGTGACAATAATAGCAACAATAATTATTATTATTATCATGGCTTACTTGTGTAGTGCATATTATGTGCCTGGTACTGCACTAAGCACTATATAGATGATTGTGATCCCTCACTCCAGTCTTGTCCGACTCTTTGAGACCCTATGGACTGTAGCCCACCAGGCTCCTCTGTCCATGGGATTCTCCAGGCAAGAATATTGGAATGGGTTGCTATTTCCTTCTCCAGGGGATCTTCCCCAACCAGAGATCAAAACTACCCACACTTCTACTATATCTCCTGCATTGGCAGGTGGATTGTTTACCACTAGAGTCACCTGGAAAGCCCATATCTGTGATTAACTCAATTTTCCCAACAAACTTACTAGGTAAGTATTCTACTATTATTGGCATTTTACAAAAGTGAAAAAATGGAGACTTAGAGAAAACTAAGTAACCTGCCTAGATGAAGCAGCCAAGATTTGGCCCTGGGAATCTACTGGCTCCAGAGCCTTGACCTTTGACCTCTAGCACACTCTGAACTGCAACAATGTATTACAGAAATATTCAAATTGGCAAAGGGATTTGGTATGGTCCCTGAGCAAGATATGAATGAAATAAAGCCAGAGCAGACTGATGTTTAGATGTATGAGGAGACCCAGAATAAGGCAAAGAGAAGAGGGAGGAACTGAGAAACAGTGCAATATTCTGTTCACATCCAAGAGGCTACTATTGGCCTGGTACCCAGGACCCTGCTGCCCATTTTCTACCCCAGGTCCAGGTGACCCCTGGGGTCCTTTCAGAGCTAATATGTTAGGAAAATCAGAAGTATTTGTTCAGAGTTCATTGTGACTTGGCTTTATTGATGTGGGCCAAGAGTCCACAGTCTGGTTGGCTTATAATGGAGACATTGATAAATCACCATGGCCTGCACATTGAATTCATTCAATATTGTGAACTTGTCTTTTTTTATGATGCTTTTTAATCTGGTCTAACAAAGGATTGTGGACTTGGAACTAGATTGCCTGACTTTGAATCTTGGTTTTGCCATTTATAAGCAATGGGACTTTGGGCATGTTACTTGATCTTTCCATGCCTCTGTTTTCTCATCTGTGAAAGGGAAAATTAGTAATCCATCTGTTTTGTAGCATTGTTTTGAAGACTGAAGGGTTATGTATAAAGCATTTACATCAGTGATGACACACAGGTACTGTATTTTTGTTAGCTATTATTATTACTATCTAAAAATTATGGTAGGTAGAAATATCTTCTCCTGAGATATTATGAACTTCTGAGATATAATAAACTACAGTAATCTGTACTAAAATGAAATTACCTTCAGGAGTTTATTTTGCAGGGCTCTGCTCCTTGTTCTTGCAGAGCATTACCTATCACTGATGAATAGATGCACAGGGAATAGACAACTCAGGGACATGATTTCAGCTGCTACAACGTACCAAAAACTAGAAGGGAAAATTCTAGATACCTGATCTCTGTGAGCTATTATTATTACTATCTAAAAATTATGGTAGGTAGAAATATCTTCTCCTGAGATATTATGAACTTCTGAGATATAATAAACTACAGTAATCTGTACTAAAATGAAATTACCTTCAGGAGTTTATTTTGCAGGGCTCTGCTCCTTGTTCTTGCAGAGCATTACCTATCACTGATGAATAGATGCACAGGGAATAGACAACTCAGGGACATGATTTCAGCTGCTACAACGTACCAAAAACTAGAAGGGAAAATTCTAGATACCTGATCTCTGTGACCTGAAACTTTAACAGTGATCAGATACAATGAGTTTGGCGAGAGAAGAATCTTTACATTATTTCTTTGAATCCTGGACAGAGTAAAAGAAAATCAAGCTTGGGATAAGAAAATTGGAGCTTCATTTCTAGTCCTCATTTTTTGTTGCTAGAGATTTTAGAGCAGGTGCAGTAATCTACCTCGCTCCTATGGTTCCTTGGTGCTGTATTCAGAACCCAGGTATCCATGAACACCTGGTTCATACTCCATGGTCTGTACAAAGTCATCCCTAGCTGTCCAGGCAGCCCACTCTGGTCTTGATTACCATAAACTGAAAATCCTCACACCCTTTGATACACTCTTGCATTATTAGTTGCCTTAAGTTGTTAATCATTTATTGAACTATCTATGTTGTTAATCATCTATGAAACTATCTATCTACCTCTGACAATTAAAAATCTCTAGTAGGAACCAACGCCTTCTCCTTGACAGCCAATTCCTTGATTATGGACCTCAGCCTCCCTGGGGAAAGTGACAATGTAAGATATACCACTTTCTGTTTCTAGACACCACTCACTCACCTAGGACATTGAACTTGGGTGATACTAAAAGCTGGACTCAAACATTTTCTAAAGGGCTTATTGAGAGTGGCACAAGAAATATGTTGTATGACGTAAAAGGCATATGAAATCTGGATCCTCTTATTCAATCCAACAGAACATCTACTGAGCACCAACTATGTGCTAGATACTATACAAGTTGTTATGGATACAAAGCGGTACTTAGCCTTCATAAGGGAGGCCCACCAGTCAACAGATGACTTAGAGATCAGGATATTCTGGGGACCCAAGAGAGGAACCCTGGTCCAGCCAGGTGATGGTGAGGGAAGGAATGAGGTGTCAGCAGAGTGGGTAGGCTGGGGTAGGGTTGCTCTATTTCAGAGAGAGATTGAGCCTAGGCCAGAGGGTGAGGGGACCTTGTTGTGACTGTTGGACTGGCCTGTTTTCCTTGTTGACTTTTAGGCCAGAGCTGATCAGAGCTGCTGACTTATTTGAGTTTGCAACACAGAAGACTGGGCCTCCCAGTTGGAGGAGGGGGCGGGCTGCTAGCTACCTCCCCGCGCTGCTCTGGACCACCCTGGGAGAGAAGGAGGGCTCTGGGGGACCTGGCACATTCCTCCCGCAAGAGCCCTGGCCGCAGCCTCTGCACCACGCCCTCGGCCTAGGCCAGGTGTGCGCCCTCCTTGCGGCGAGGGGGGGCCCGGCAGCCGGGGTGAGCGCTTTTACAGCTCCGAGTGTGCCGTGTGTTTGTCTGCCTCCCGAGGGCTGGGTCCTCCTTATTCACAGGTGAGTCACACCCTGAAACACAGGCTCTCTTCCTGTCAGGACTGAGTCAGGTAGAAGAGTCGATAAAACCACCTGATCAAGGAAAAGGAAGGCACAGCGGAGCGCAGAGTGAAAAGCTCCCAGCGGCGAGGCGCCGGGCAGCTCCCCTGCAGCGGCAGACGGCGCGGCCCGGCCTGGCCATGCCTGCGCTCTGGCTCAGCGGCTGCCTCTGCCTCTTGCTCCTCCTGCCTGCAGCCCGGGCCAACCCCAGGACGCCAGGTGAGTCCCTTCCCGGAAAAAACAGCGCAGCCCGGGGCCGGGAACTGGCCTTGCCCTGCAGACCGTGATGGCTGCACGCACCTCCGAGGCGCCCCGCTTTGCAAGAACCTTCTCAGAGCGTCCTCCTCCTCCGCCCTGTGGGGCTCCTCCAGAGGATGGTTCACAGTAGTATTATATGTAACGCTGTCTGATTTTAAAATGTGAAGCCAATGGATTGTGCCAAACCAGGGTTTTCTTCCCTTCAAAAACGTGCCTTCTTGAGTGTTTATATATTTATTTATTTTTGATCAAGGGGCTCTGGTTTAATCAGTAACACGTGGGTATATAAATTCTTTTCCCACAGTGTGTTTTTTTTCCCCCGTAGTGTGTTTTTATTGATGGAATTTTGGTGGGAATATTTTCTGTGACCTTGAACCCCATGAAGGTTGAAAAGGCACCTCATCCCTCTGGAATTCCCGTTTCTTTGGGATGGAAAATGAGCCTTAAGAGTCTAACAATGCTTTTCCTTTTGCATAGTGTTACTTTTTATAGTATTTTCATATAATATTTATTCAACAGGCATTTATTGGGCACCTATGTCATAGACCATTTGATCTTATCTAGGGCCCGCAGTGGCTGTCACGTCGTGAGTTCAACTCCTATAAACAAAACTTCCTGGGCACCTAGCAACGGTATACTGTATGCATGCATCAGCCATGACAACACATAACGGGTGTTTTTTTTAAGTTTTAGTTAGTAGTCACTGAATTTTACCAATGATATTTGCCTAATTACCTCAAATTTTGGGGTTTATTTTTGCTTCTTGTATCTGATGGCACTTTGAGAATTATCTCAATACATCCAATATCCATTTTCACACATGTGAACATGTGTGAACATGAGATCAAGTTCATGGGTACATGGAAGTATCTTAGATACTCCATGTATTACTTCACAGTCTGGGTGATGCTAACCTGAATTGTACTTGAACGGCACAAATGTTTTAGCATGTATTTGAATGCATTTGATTCAGTCTTTTTTGTCTAAGATAATCTTGAAATTAACTTCCAGGTCATCATCCGTGATTACCATTTAAAAATCACTTATGAAAATGACCATGTAGGCTAGATTCCTTAGAATAAATAGCTTTCACCTAATGAGAAATATCCTAAAAGTAAGAATAGTCTTTGAGTATCAGAATTCAGAGAGACTGCTTATGGGTCAACTCTTAGAATCCCCTGACTTAATAAATGAAAATATGGAAATGGATTTGTGCAACGCTACAGAAGCAGCTACTGGCAGAGACACATCTGAAATTTGATCTGGGGGTTCTTAGACTCGAGCTTCAGGGACCATTATAAAAGTAATAAGGGAACAGGTACATATGTTTTACATAGTTAGTAATTGTTGACGCAGTTTCCCTCTTGGCTATAGTTGAGTGTATGTGTGTGTGTGTTAACATTAGATAAAAGGAACAAATATGTAGGGAGATATCAGTTGTTATGTGCTCCTCCTGTAGCTCAGCGGTAAAGAATCCGCCTGCAATTCAGGAGCTGTAAAGTTCTATCCCTGGTCTGGGAAGATCACCTGGAGAAGGAAATGGTAACCCATTCCAGTATTCTTGCCTGGGACATCCCATGGACAGAGGAGCCTGCCCGGCTAGGGGTCTGAAAAGAGTTGGACACGACTTAGTGACTGACCAACAACAACATCAATTGTTTAATGAAATTAGAGTCAGGAGGACAGAGTTTAGACTCAGAGTGTCCAGTAAGTCAGAAGGACTTAATGAATTGTTAAGTCAGAAGCAGTGTTTAGGCTCATTTCCAGACTTTCCCCTTTTTAAAAGATAGGCAATTTAAAAATGTTAGGCTGCCTCCTCAAAGGGCTTCATTTGGGGTTCAACGAGAGTGTGAAAAGTTTGTGTTAGGCTAGAGCACACGGTGGCTCAGACGGTAAAGCGTCTGCCTACAATGTGGGAGACCCGGGTTCAATCCCTGGGTTGGGAAGATCTCCTGGAGAAGAAAATGGCAACCCACTCCAGTATTCTTGCCTGGAAAATCCTGTGGATAGAGGAACCTGGTAGACTACAGACCATGGGGTCGCAAAGAGTCAGACACGACTAAGCGATTTTACTTTCACTTTCAGAGCACACATGCTTTTCCATTTATGGGATGCTGGGATCTTGTGGGAGTTGGACTGAAAGTATGGTGCTTGCCATCTCCCAAAGTGACCTGCCTCTGTGCACCTCTGAGAGCCTAAAGCAAGAACATTGCTTCCTGGGTGCTACCTTGCAGGTGAAATGTTAGTGTTAGATATAATCAGAGTTGGTTTCAGTTAAAGCACATGTTTTAGAGTCCGGCTGACCTGACTTTAAATTTTTGACTGCTTTGTTTACTAGTTCCTTATCAGTAACCATTCAGACACCTCAGCCGCCTGGGTCGGTTCTTTGCCCGTTAACTGGAGGCAATAGTGCTGTGTAACCTTGCAGGGCTGTTGAAAGGAAGAGATGTTATTGTGAAGAACCTTAAAATGCCTAGAACTACATTTTTTAAAGATGTCTGATGCCAAGAGTGCAAGTGTAGTGAACTTGGATGCTTAGAGATCATTAAGAAAGATAAAGGTTCCTCCCAGGAGCTCACAGTTGGTGTGAATGTGGCTGTAGCTCCAGTGGTCTGCATCATAGTTCCCTTGAGGAGGTGTGACTGGAGAAGTGAGGCAGGAATGCCACTAGAAATGTAGCCAAGAATCTGGTGGTGAAGAGCCTCACATGCCAGGATCAGGATATGCAGTTAGGTTAGTGCCCTGTGGCAAAGAAGGGTTGCAGAAGGTTTTTTTTTTTTTTCCCCAGAGAAAGAAGGATTTATAATTTGCAGCAAGTAAGGAACACTTGATTTTCCAAAGCACGGTCACCAGGTTGCAGGTGGTTTTTAAGAAGAGTGGACGTGGGAAAGGTCACTCATTTAAGGGCTTAAAGGATGGAATTGAGCTAGGAGAGGCAAACAAATGGCCATTGAAATAATGCAAATGAGACTTGATGAGGGTTTTCTTCATGGTCATGAAACAGCAAAGAGGAAACAGATCACAGAGACATTTAGAAGGTGAAATTGGAAGAATCTGGTGATCCAATGGGTGTGTGCATTAGGGATAATAGTAAGGGGAAACTGTGAGAAATAAGAAAGAGTCCAAGATGGGTCCAAGGCTTCAATTTCATGTAACTGGTTAGGCAGTGATGCCGTTAAAGGAAATGAGGACTTTAACAAAAGGGTCAGATTTGAGAGCAAGTTTGGCAGTAGATGAAGAGAAGGAGGTGAGCTTCCATGGGGGTATATTGAGTTTGAGTTGCAAGTGGACATGTCCGGTGAACAGCTGGAACTATAATTTTGAAATTTAGAAGAAATTAAAACAATATAAAGTTGGGAGTCCAACAAAGCCTTGAAAATAGATGAGACTACCTGGGTTCAGTTCAGTCGCTCAGTTGTGTCCGACTCTTTGTGACCCCATGGACTGCAGCGCGCCAGGCCTCGCTGTCCATCACCAACTCCTGGAGTTTACCCAAACTCATGTCCATTGAGTCGGTGATGTCATCCAACCATCTCTTTCTCCTCTGCCCTCAATCTTTCCCAGCATCAGGGTCTTCTCAAATGAGTCAGCTGTTTGCATCAGGTGGCCAAAGTATTGGAGTTTCAGCTTCAACATCAGTCCTTTCAATGAACACCCAGGACTGATCTCTTTAGGATGGACTGGTTGGATCTCCTTGCAGTCCAAGGGACTCTCAAGAGTCTTCTCCAACACCATAGTTCAGCATCAACTCTTCAGCACTCAGCTTTCTTTATAGTCCAACTCTCACATCTAGACATGACTACTGGAAAAAGACTACCTGGGAGAAAGAGGTAAAAGAAACATCAATACTTTACAAGGAGATGGAAGAATAGTGAAGGAACAGGAGGAAGGGGCATCGAGGCTAGGGGAGAATCAAGAAAGAGGAGAGTTTTGTTAGAGCAAGGAAAAGTTTCAACAATATCGGAGTCATACACAAATGAACCTATCTATGAAACAGAAACAGAATCAGGGACATAGAGAATAGACTGGTGATTGCCAAGGGGAAGGTAGTGGGAGAGGGTTGGATTGGGAGTTTGGGGTTAACAAATGCAAACTATTATATATAGAATGGATAAACAACAAGGTCCTACTGTATAGCACAAGGAAATATATTCAATATCCTCTGATAAACCATAATGGAAAAGAATATGAAAAAGAATATACATATATATATGTTTAACAGAGTCACTTTGCTGTACAACAGTAATTAACACGACATTGTAATTCAATTATACTTCAATTAAAAAATGTGAGAGTCATAAATTTCTACTTTAGGAGTCATAATTTCTACTCAGAGATAGAAATATGAATACACAAAGGATGAAGGCTAAGATAACACTATAGGATTAAGCCACTAGGTCAGTTTTGAACCACTTGTTCTAGAATGGTGAACTCAGAGTCCAAGATTATTTAGATCATAAATTTAGTTTCTCCCATAGCCTGATGCTGGAAAAGAGGCACTTAGGATTGTGTTGTAATTAGTGGAAAGGGTCCCTAGAAAGATTTATACTCTCGGAGATTCTGTTATTTAACTTGTGGAGTGGTGGGCTTCCCAGATAGCTCAATGGTAAAGATTCCACCTGCCTATGCAGGCCGTACAGAAGACGTGGGTTTGATCCTTGGGTTGAAAAGATCCCCTGGAGAAGGAAATGATAACCCACTCCAGCATTCTTGCTTGGAAAATCCTGTGGACAGAGGAGCCTGGCAGGCTATAGTCCATAGGGTTGCAAAGAGTTGGACACAACTGAGTGACTGAGCCCACACACAACTTGTTGGAACGGAGTAGCATCCTGCATGGAGGTACAGGCTCTGTACTAAGGTTGTGTTTATGTGTTCGTGTGTGCTCAGTCATGTCCAACTCTTTGTGACACCTTGGACTACAGCCCACCAGGCTCCTCTGTCCACAGAATTTTTCAGGCAAG